CTCTCCACAGATGCTGCCAGACCTGCTGAGTATTTCCAACAATTTCTGTTTCTGTTTGATTCAGATTTCCAGCATCCACAGTTCTTTGTTTTATGATGTCCTAATCTTTCTTGGCTCTCACCATCTGAATAGAAGCTTATATCTCACTGAAGTTATCTCTTGCTTATAGCTGCTCAATTTGCAGTTTGGTTATTAGTTAACTCTCAACTAGCTACAACATGTACTATGAAAAGGACAATCCTGAAATAAGCCTGGTATCTCAAAAAGCTTCAGGTCATCATGGTTCTGCAGCTGTTTTGCAAATTCCACATCACTCAATATCACATATTCAACTGCTTTCAAATTCACTGCTACCTCTAAGACACAAAGGTATGCCCCAAGCTCCTTACAACTATGTCTCCAAAGTATAAAAATCCCTGTCAGACAGATCTCCTCCTTCTGTTTAATATCCATCTTCAAATCAACCATGAACACAAAAACCTGAATTGCCAGAGGCTACACATAATGACACAGGAATAGATAAGTTATTAAAGCAGCTCCTCAATAATCAAATGCAGCAGAATATAAGCATAGTAAACCAAAATCATACATGGAACACCGTGCAGTCACAACAAGCACAGTACAATCCCAATAGTGTCTGTAAAATGGGTCCTGCAATGATAATTACTATAGGTACCCCTTATTATGGACCTTCCAATGCTTATAAAGCACAAGGACCAGAATCAGTGCCAATCTCATGTCCTGTATTGTATTTAGTAACAAAGATAAAATCCCTGTTAGGTATATTGCAATTTAAGCAACCAACATATAGTCGGAACTAAAAAAGCATAAGTATATCTGGGGATTTATTCATTAGCTCATCTTACAGTTCTCAGCTCCACCATATAAGCAGATATGCAAATGTGTAGGGACTTTTAGAGAATTATGTAGATGTTATACTATTAGTTTTTTGACCCAAAGAAGTAGTTAATAATGTCTAATAATACTGCAACCTGGTATATGATGCATCAGTGAAGTAAACAGCGTGAAGAAGAGTACAGTACCTCCTTGTTACAGTAACACAGCATATTGTTTTCCCATGTGGACATCTTTGTAATCTCTGAGGAAAGTTTACATACATATTTGTCAAGCTTGACAGGGAGTATTTTGCTACAAGTAAAATTGGATCGAACTTTAATTCAGTTGTATTTTCTATAATGTACAACATCATAAAGGATGTTGCAGATTGATTACTCCAAAATTATTACGTATTCTCAAATATAAATGATAACTGAGGGATTTCACTCAGTTCAATTCACATTCTTGGGGGTCTGTAACATAGATGTACTAAAGTGATGGGTTAAGTTATGAGGTTAAATTAAACTAAAGCTTGGGACAACTGCCGCCAATGCACAGTGGGGGAAAACCATTGTCTGAAGTCTTTCCGCTGAAGTTAAACGGAGGCCCATTCAGTTATCAGAGCTTATTCATGCCTCAAATGCATGTAAATATAGCCTTGTTCAGGCTTTGGTTCGTTTAGGTGGAATCAAACTCCAATGTTTGTTTGTTTCCTTTGATATGCTACCATACAGCACCAAACTGCGTTTGTGACTATTTTATATATACAGATTTTTTTATGAATAAATGCCATTTTTGAAAAAAAGCAAAAATTAAACTAACCAGGGTTGTATTTTCCTTAATGGGCAAAGTTAAGTGGTGATTTAATCAAAGTTTTCAAGATACAGGAGATAGATGTGGTAAATAAGGAGAACCTACTTCTGCTAGTTGGGGAGTCAAGGGCTAGGGGTCATACTCTAAAATTAAAGAAAGATTTTTCAGGAGTGAATTTAAGAAACACGAATTAATTAATTAACATGAATGGTAACTGATGCCAAAACAATTGTCAATCTTAAAATTGAAATTGATTTAAGGGATTTGGAGAAAATGAGTTGGCCACAGATCAGCTGTGAACTCATTAAATGGTGAAACAGACTTAAGTTCCTTAATTGCCTAGTCCTATTGCTATGTTCCTATGTTCTTTTCACTAAAGATTATCTCTTCACGGCTATAGCATGTTAGTTGGGTCTTAAATTATTCCAGAGATTTTGCTTCTTAATCCTTTCTGGAAGACTATTCCAGGTACTGATTACCCTTTTCTTGGTATGTGCTTCATTACATCAACCCAGAACCTATCTATTATTAATGTCCCAAAGTCTCAGTCTTAGTTTAATTTGAAGTAATGCCAAGTTAACTATCTCTATTGTGGTTAGCATATGCGTATATTTCTATAAATTTGCCTCTCGTTTACTTTCCTTAAAGGCTACAGCTTTTCTCATCTTTCCTCATTACTCAACCCTTTGCTCTACCCTACACAATCTTCAGGCTTAATGATTCATGAGCCAAAATGAACACACTATTCAAGGTGAAGTTGTTTCTATAGCATTATACAGTTCAATGTGATGTCTTCAGAATTATATGCTGAAAAATTGGAGCTATAACTCAACCTCCTGACTGTGTTGCACTGCTACAATTTGAGTCTACTATCACTCCGAGATCCTTATTCTCTCTTGTAACGAGTTCAACATTCATCATTCATATATTTCTCCAATTTTTCTTTGACTTTGCCAGACCTTGCACCTATTTAATTATATCTGCCAAAGTTCTATTGAATTGTTTATTGTATCTAGATCCTCTTGCTTCATCAGCCTCAACCAATCCTACTCACCCTATTTTACTGTCATCATGGAAATGGACTAGCTAGCATTGCATTTTTGTATTGAGGCTATTGGTATACAACAACAATAGCAGCAACAATAATATCAAAGACACTCCACTCAATACAACTGTTCAACCCATATCACTCCACGAATTAAACCCACTAGTCCCTCTCTATCAATCAATTCCCTAGCTTTGCCTTCTGGTGAAGGGGGTTCTGATGAAAGGTTACAAGATGTGAAATGTTAACTCTACTTTCCATCCACAGATACTCCCAGACCTGCTGAGTTTCTCCAACAATTTCTGTTTTTATTTAACATTTCCAGCACTTTTTGTCTCTAGATTTGCCTTATGCATATGAAAAAAAGTTCATGTTGTGTTTTATTGCAGGCTCTCTGGTAAGTCTCAGGCTACAGCACATGCATTTCAATGAAAATTTGAGCCACCACTTCCTTGATAAAGTCAAGAAGGCATGGGAAACAAAAATATCATGCTGCTGTTATGTGATTTTGAATATTATAATGCGATGTACAAAGTATTGTAGTAGCAAATCATGGGGTCGGAGACAGATGAAAATGTAGGAGCCTAAGAGTAGTGAAATTTTATGATGATGCTTTTAAGGCAAGGTGATGATTTTTAGAAATTACAGAATGGAAAGTTTTGCCTTGCTTTTTTAATTTCAGATAAAGGGAAAACCATCAGATTCCATGTGATAATATTAGTCATTAAATTCTAACAACTTTAAGATATATTTAAGTGATATATTTAATGATAAATGCACAACTTATCCTGAATGATCTTAAATATTAGGCAATGTCTTTTAATATTCAACAGACAAAAGTGTAAATATCTTGAATTTTGGTGAGAAGTTGTTTTCATCTAATAAAGTTATCATGTTTGGAATTGTTTCATACGTCTGTTATATGCTCAATTCATTTACATTCCAATTCATTATCATGTTAGAGTCAATAAATATAGAGCTTGAAAAGCACAGCATGTCAGACTGCATCCGAGGAGCAGTCCTGATGAAGGGTTTCAGCCCAAAACACCGACTTTCATGCTCCATGACGCTGTCTGACTGCTCTACATTTATTGACTCTAGCTTCCAGCATCTGCAGTCCTTACTACCCCATTATCATATTACTTAGGTTAGATCTCATTATGACAAAAATGAGTAGCATTGTAACTCCTCTCACTCCTGAAAATAAAAGGACAGTTAAATTCCTCTCCATGATTATGGTATCCCATATATCTGCAGAGAAGCGACCATTTTTTCTTTCTCTGGCTTTAGAAACTAATAACTGCTTTTCTCAAAGCCTATTCAAAATATACTTTAGTCGTAAACATGAACAAATCATTAAAAATCAGTGAGTTGCCAAACCAGTTAAAATGGAGCATTTTCAAAAGCTTGGTCATGAAAGTTCATAAGCCCAACTTAAGCTAAAATAGGCACCAATAATTTGAGTGTCTTTATTGATGATTAATAGGTATTTCAAATTGCTTGTGCAAAATTTAAAGAAGAGATTTAAAAGCAATCAGTGCCAGTGAAAAGCAGGCAATGCAACAGCATTGCAGTGCTGTACATTCTCAGCTTGGTAGTCAGCTCAATGTCAACTTGAAAAATTATGTTAATGTGTAAGCTATGACTGAAGACAAGAGCCATTGTATATGTAATCGGAGTAGATAGATAGAGAGAGAGATAGATAGATAGATAGATAGATGAATAGATAGATAGATAGATAGATTCACAAACTTCCAAAGATCAAAATCTACATTGGAGTTTAATATCTTAAAAATGAAAGTATTGTGAAAAATGCATTTTACTTAACACACTTTTGTAAATTTAATCTATTAACAGCACCACTCCAGTATATTTTACTTGTAAGTCATTTTCACCCAGTATTTTACACACAATAACACAGAAATGTAATACTGACTGTTTAAAAAATCCAATGCAACAAGATTATTTCTAATGATTTTAGTAATAAATCACATCTTTCTTTTGCCACATGTAACTAATTGTAATTAATACAGCTCTTCAAAACCAAAATCCAATGTGATCTAGAAATCCAGTGTAAAGTGAAAAGTAACATTTTAAAATTGTTTTGCGTGTATCATTTCAGTGAAGTATTTACTTTGGTCAATGAAGTTGCACAGACATTATGTGTTGGGCATGGAAATGTGTTGATAACAGTGACTAATTGTTTAATTTGTCTCCTATTTCTCCAAATACAGGTGAGAAATCAGAAAATGAAATATTTATCTTTGTTATTTCTTCATTTAAGACAAGTAGCCATTGTTCTTACCTTGCGCCCTGCCTCATTATTGTGCAGGTTCATGAGTGTCCTGGCATTCTGTTTGATTTCTCTTGCATCTACAAATACTTTGGAGAATCCAATTCCATATCTGATGTCTGCAGAGCAGCCTCCCCATTTCCAGCCTTCCTCCTGATTGTAGTGACCCTGTTTTTCTTTGTCACAGCCACAGTCACTCAGGTTTCCCTGGGTGCATGCAGCAGTAATGGCATGAGCTACTCCAGCAGCAATAATAGCATAAGTGAAGGCTGCTTCTCTGCTTCCTGCAATCAAGATATTGGGACACACATATTAGTTTGTTTGATAGGGCAATGATAATCATAATAGTTCATATTTTACCTTCGTGTCACATAATATTTTATACTGAAGTTTCAGTCTTGAAATAAGCATTTAAAGCATTTGGTTGAAATATACTTTAATTGAAATCACTACAAAGTACCTCAGTTTACTTCCCATAAAGTTCTTGTTTACAAACGCTTGTTGACAAATCCAAAGTGATGTGAAGAATTATAAGAAGCGTCGTTTTTAATCAAATAAATTAAACTTTAGGGAAATTTGCAAGTAATGAAAGGTTGCAAAATGTTGAGATCCACTTCGAAATGTGGAAAACAAAATTGGCGTTGGTTTTGCACAATAAGCCTTGTGTTCACTGCATATTATGAGCCAAACTGTAAATTCAACCCAGAATATAGAATACCTCGGGCATACGGTTATGCTCAACGGTTTAGCAGTCGAAGATAATTAAGTATTTCAGATGGGGCTGCTTATTAAGTTGCTGTTCATGTGAACTAATGCGCACTTCGAGCTGGTGACATGGGCGACAAATGGCCATTCCTGATTTTTGCTTTCAGTTACAATTAAAACATTGGACTGTTGTTACGCGACTTACCAAAACGACACGCCTTCCTCTTGCATTTTTGTGACACATTTGCAGGTCTGTGTGTGAGTATTAGCAGCCGGGTGTATTTACATCCTTTAAGTGTGACTGAAATGGGAATATGGGACCTTTCAACAGTGAGAAAGTCAGGGACGAGAGTAAGACATGCAGGCCGGCAAAAAGGGAGCTGGCCGCTAGAGAACCTGAAAGGGTTCTCCCCGGAATGATATAACCAGAGGAAATATTCCCCGCTGATGGGAGTCGCGGATTATCGAAATGTGCCTCTGCAATCTGTTATTGGCTTCCTCAATGTCGTACATTCTGAATGAAATTCCCCTCTAGGCTGGTATCTTCTGGAACCTGCTGTTCTCTAATTTGCTGCCATCTCCTTTGAGTGCGTGCCAAAGATTAGATACTTTTACACAAATGTATAAACCGGAGGAGACGGAATAGATAATGAACTTAGACAAACAGCACAGGCGAGCCAATACCCATCCTTTATTCAATGGAAACAAAAAGAAAGATAACCATGAGGACTGATTCAGAGTGACCACATGATTTATATCTGGTAATTCGCTTTGAGAAACAAGTTAAGACACTGCTTTTATTTATGGCGAAAATTACACCTTGGGTTGATACCGCAGTTATGCGTTTAAAAGTCAATCATCACCAGGGGTTTCAAAGGAGAGTCAGGGATCCTCTTGCTTTGGCGGATTTTCAAGTTTGGCAGAAGTTTTAATACATTGCCCACACTCCAAGAACCGCGGCTACCTGCGTGTTGTCATTAAGAAACGACATGATGTTACTGGTTCAGCTCCAAAGGTAATGGAGGAGCACTGCTGTCTGAGAGAATCTGACTGAAGTGATTGGAGATCTCTGGATATGGGCTCTCACAGTAACTAACCTCACTGGGGGTGGGGGTGTAGGAGGGATCCGGCCCTTGGAAAGGAACCTCTTTGATTTTTTTTCATGTTAGAAAATTCAAAATACACACATCATAAAAAGATTTGAGTTACTTTCCAAAACACACGTTAAAGACGTGTTTAGGTCTATCCTTAAACAAATCAAGCATTTCAATTGACCTGAAAATTCTGCAGGTGAGTCATATGTCCAGGTACTGAGTCTCCAGGGGATGACCCACAAACAGTAAATGCCTCATTACCCAGTTGTTAATAAATAAGATAGTTTACTCAAACTTTCAGTTAGTGGCTGTTTTGATAACTGGCAAGGACTGATTCACGATTGGAATTCGTTTTATTTTGGGTGGAACTACTTATGGATGTAAATGTGTTGGGGATAGTTCAAAGAATCTTTACCAGGCTAATACCTTGAATTGTGCTGTGTTGGGTTGGGGGGGGGGGGGGGGTTGGGGGAATGTTGTCTAAAGAGGAAAAGTTGGTCAAACTAGGCTTCTATCCGCTGGAGTTTAGTAGAGTGAGAGGTGGGTCGTTTGAAACATGCAGGAACCTGATGGGTCTTGACAGGGTAGGTATGGAAAGGATGTTTCCTCTTGGGGGATAATCTACATCAGTTTAAAAATCCGGCGTGACCCGTTTAAAACAGAATGACGAGATTTTCTCCCTCTCTCTCTCGGAGGGTCGTGAGTCTTTGAAACTTTCTTCCTGAGTAGGCGGGGATCAGAGTCCTTGAATTAAGACGGAGGTAGATTCCAGTTCAGCATAGGAAATGCAAGGTTATCCGGGGTAGGGAGGCATGTGGATGTGAGTTTACAAACAGAACAGCTGAGCAGGCTCAAGGGGCTGAATGGCCTTTTCCTCCTCCTAATTGGTGTGTGTTCGGATGGTCACGCTCTGTGAAATTGATTTGAAATTGACTAAAACGTTGCAAGTTGAATTTAGAGATAGTAGAAACTGCCGATGCTGGAGCCTGAGATAACAAGGTGTAGAGCTGGATGAACACAGCAGGGCAGGCAGCAT